TTGAATTCCAGTCCTGAGGTTTGAGCCTCGTGTCTCCTTGCCCACTTTTCTATTCAACATGGGGTAACTGTGGTGAGCTCTCAAGTTCTCATCCTTGCCCCATGCAGTGCCTCCTCCTCTTGCCATCACGAAGAATTTCCTTTGCTCACAAAACCACAACAATTTCGTTTCTGTTTCCAGCATTTGTCCTTTTGACATTTTAGAAGAAATAGGATCCAAATTTGATGTTGAAAAGAAAGCACTGATTTCTTTAGAGAGACAGAATTTCTCCTCCTTACTCTCATTTTTCCCTGGCGGTGGGGAAAATTATTCCCTTAAGCAGTTAGAGCAGCTCCTTTGAGAATAACAGGGGCCTTCTGAAGAGATTCTTTGAAGCTCACAGTAGACCCCCTTGCTCTGTAATAAGTCGCATGGGGGGCGGGGTATGGGGGAGAGACACAGTCTTTTCCTTCAAGCTTTACATTCTGCATCAACAAGCTCTTCACCTCAAACACTGGAGAATCCACTCCTGGAACGACCCTTGCCACAAATCAAGATCCAAGACAAACAGTGGCGAGGTCCCCTCAAGTGCTTTGTCTTGAGCCTTTACCCTGTGTGAGATTCCTAAGGTCTTTCACCTCCCAGTCTCCACTCTGCGCTCTTTGTCCAGGGTCAACAAAGGCATGAAGGGCATAAATTGTGGCTGTGCCCTGTTGCCCATGACTTTCGGGTGAGCTCCTCTCCAACGGACCTAGGAAGATGGAGCCTGGCTAGAGCAAAAAGAGGGGCTTACTGGGCCTTTCTCTCCACCCTTTCTATGAACCTCAGCCGGCCTGCCCTTTTCTGGAAATGAACTGTTTCCCTTTATTTTTATTTCTTTTAAAAAGGTGTCAGAAGTCTTCTGGAGCTGTAGCTTTATGCAGATCGGCTCTACAACACAAGTGGAAGGCTTTAGGGGAGAGTTATTTATATCCCGTAGGCATCACACATGCAAAGGGTGAAGCTGTGAACCTCTGAATCTCCCATGATGAGCGCATTCTTGCAGGTAGCTATTTTTGTGACACACAGTTCCTGTATCTAACTGTCAGATTTTCTTTTCTTTCTTTTTCTGTCTTTTTCTTTCCAGACAGGAGACTGCATAAGCACTCAGTAATTTTAGAATTACCCTGGATATTTCTCTCCAATGAGGTTTCCAGACCTGGACTTTTCCTGAACATTAGATTTACTACCACCATAGAAGACTCTAGAAATAGAGCCACTCAGTCATTAAGATGTAATAATGGGTTCACCTGTATCCCTATTTAAACAATTTGTTTTTTCCCTTCCCCTCCACAAATTATAGCAACATCAAATACAATGAAAGCAGGGGTTATACCGTGGGGGAGGGACATACAAAGCAACAAAGAAATCATCTTATAAACAATCGCATGAAAGAAAATACATTTGAATACTTACCTTGGGGTGGACCCATTGCAACAATGAGATGTACAAGTCGATATGTTGAAAAACTTTACAACTTTGAGGGGGGGAGGGGACGGAGAGGGAGATGGGAAGGGATGGGAAAGGCAACAATACTTGATAAGAAATGTACTCATTACCTTGCTCATGTCATTGTAACCCCTCTGTACAGTATTTTCACGATAAAAAAAGAGGTAATAATGAGCTGAGCACTGGTGCCTCAATCCTAGCTATTTGGGAGGCTGAGAGCTGAGGATCATGGTTTGAAGCCAGCCTGGGCAGGAAAAACTTATAAGATTCTCATCTCCAATTAGCCAGCAAAAAGCCAGAAGTGGAGATGTGCCTCAAGCAATAGAGTATTTTTTCAAGAAAAAGTTAAGGGAAAGCAGGCTAGTTCTGGTTCAAGCCCCAGTACTGCGTTCACACATGCACATACACACACACACACACACACACACACACACACACACACACACACACAAATAATGTGGTACACTTACTGTCTGCTCATTTTCAAATAGACTCCTAGAAGTTACTGCTCTGGTCCATGACCATCTTGTCTTCCTGTGAAATGCAGACAATTCTCCAATCTCCAAATTGAAATAGACATTTATCACCCCTCCAAAACTTGTTTCTCCTATTGGAAACTGAGAGCTCACCTCAAAATATTTCCATAGCACAGGCAATGACAATTATGACTCACGGAAATGTCACTTTTCTTTGATTGTGACAGAAACACTGGGGCCTAAATTAAAACTCAATTATCCCATAAGGGTAATTGGGGTTATAAACCAAGAGAGTGGGTAGGTTGGTATTGTAGGAGATGCAATGACGGATGGACTGCTATGTGCTCTGTCCACAGTGCAGCCTCTCAGACGATATGATCGAGGTAAGGTAATCTGTGCAGAGTACATGCCAGGAAAGCATCCCAGGAGGTTGCAAACATGGAGAAATGAAATGAGCCTCTTAAAATGTGTTGGAACCATTCAAGTAAGCCTCAACTGAAAGAGAAAGGTATAGGGCTAAGTGACGGCTCACCTGCTGGTGAATTCATCACCAAGACTTTAAACTGACTCTCTGAGCTTACAAACCAAGGTCCTTTCTCACCTGGGAGAGAGAGGCGAGATCAAGTTTGGGGTTCCATATCATCTACATCATTAAAGTGCCTAAGAGGAGGTTGGACTGTTTTGTGTTTGTTTGTTTTAACAAAAGGCATAATCCATAAGAGCTACAAAAAAAGGGAAAAAGACTTGGGGTAAATTCAGTCATAAATCAAGTACACAAGACAAGCCTGTGAAAGGAAGCTTTGCATTCTTTTGTGCCAAGGATCACTTGCCCAACAGCAGATGGCCATGGGGTTACTGCTTTGGTGATGCACTTAGTGTGTTCCTTGGGTCAAATCTGACCCACGGAAACTCTCCAACTTCACACTCCAAGCCTCTCAAGACATAGTCCTTCTTCCTCTGTGTGTGTGTGTGTGTGTGTGTGTGCGCGTGTGTGCGTGTGTGTGCGTGTGTGTGTGTGTGCACGTGTGTGCGCATATGTGTGTGGGGGGGGTACCCATCCTGGGGCTTGAGCTCTGGGCCTGAGCACTGTCTATAGCTGTTTTGCTCAAGACTAGCACTTTACCACTTGAGCCACAGAAGCTCCCCCTTCTGGCTTTTGGGTGGTGAATGGGAGATAAGGGTCTCACAGAGTTTCTCGCCTGGGCTGGCTTCCGATGAAGATCTTTAGATCTCAACCTTCGGATTAGCTAGGATTACAGAAGTGAGCCACCAGCATTCAGCCATTCTGGATTTTTGAAGGAAAAACCAAAAGGTTTCACTTCCCTGCCTTCCCAGAGACTTTGCTGTCCCCTCCTACTCTCGTTTATTTAAAAAGAGTACATATCCATCACATGACAATGACATCTTCTTGTCTTTCTGTCTCGTCTCTGTTTCTTGAGAGATGTGTACAGCTAAGCACACAGTAGGTGCTCACAAAATGAAGCTAATGCCCTGGAAAGCAGTACAATTCCAGATTTCTGACTTTTATTTCAATGCTATGTGGGATTATCTACATAGAAGACTGGACAAAACCTCATTCCTCGCTTCCCACCCCCCCCAATCCCTTGCAAAACCAAAAAGGTTTTGCTTTGAGGACATCCACCTTTGTAAACACATTTCTGGTCCTGGGAAAACATGAGGAGGTAGAGTAAGGTTTCCAGCAGAGTCCTGCGTTCAGCTGACACATCAGTATCCTCACATCCTCTGATAATCATGAGAGGCAAGGTCCAGTCTCCCCCCCCCCCCCCCGCCCCCTACCCCCTGGGAAAGCATGCCTAGAAAGACAGCCAGGAAAAGTGCTATGTCTAACCTGGGCTTTTGCAATATTTATTTCCCAATCTACTGTCTTATCTACTGCCTCGAAAACCCAAAAAGAGACAGGTACAAATTGTATTGACAAAATAAATAAAAATCAGAACTTGATTCTCCGTAGCAAAGGCAAGTATACATTATAAATAGCAAAACAGCTGGCTTGGACCATATTGTGGGTCACTTACCCAATTGAGGGATTTGAATGACATCATAACCCTGGAGAGGGTATTGCTAGCCAGCTGGTGTTATTTAGGATACACAGAATTGGAGAGAGAAAACACACACACACACACACACACACACACTGATTATACAGAAAAATATAATAGGAGAATAGCTTGCCCTCCTCTGGTGCTTTCCCTGGGGTCTATGGAGGTGATGGACAGCCAGCCTAGTAGAAGGATTTTGTTCAAGGATTTTATTTTTCAGTTGGTTTTACAGCTCAGCAAGTCTTTGCCTTGTCTCTGGCATAAAGCTAGAGCCAGTATGTAAAAAGAAGCCCATCCACTGCTGTAAGTTTTAGGAAATTAGATCATTCCTTTCAAGCTGGCAAGTAGGACAAGGGGTCGGCTGAGGGCTGGCTTCCAACCTCATTCAATACAGTCACTTCAGGGTTAAACTTGTAGGGTTTGCTAGAGATAGTCTTTGTTTCTTTTCTTTCTTTGTTGTTTTCTTTTCTTAATAAAATTTTGCATTTGCTCTAAAATATAATTGTTCCCCTAGCCCATTCCTATGACTTTGATTCTGAAAAGGTGCGTTAGCAGATGCATGTGTCTCTCTGGATAGAAAGTTAATCAGAGAATAGATCGTAATTTTCTATGGCAGCCTAAATATTTTAATGTCCGCTCTCCGTGTCACTAATGCTCATTTTTTTAAAGGGGAAAAATAAAAATGCTTCTGTGCTCCAGTTTTAAAATGCAAAGGTATGATGTTATTTGTCACCATGCCCAAAAAAGTCCTTACTCGATAACTTTGCCAGAAGAGGGAGAGAGAGAGAAGGCAAATATTCCCCCAGCTGTTTCCTGTCTACAGTGTCTGTGTTTTGTAGATAAATGTGAGGATTTTCTCTAAATCCTCCTTCTCTTTGCTAAATCCCACTGTCACTGCTAAATTCAGAGCTGATAGAGCCTGTGCAATGGAATGAAGTCTTCAATTGAAATGTGACATTGCTCTCAACATCTCCCATCTCTCTGGATTTCTTTTTTTTCCCCTTTTTTCTTTTCTTTTCTTTTTTTTCTTTCTTTTTAATTTTTTTTTTTTTTTGCTTCATTGTTTCTGCTAAGCAATTCATTTCCAGACTTTGTACTTCAGAAGCCATGGGAAAAACCAGCAGTCCTCCAACTCAATTATTTAAGTGCTGCTTCTGTGATTGCTTGAAGGTAAATATTTCTTCTTCTTTGAAGTGATGGGAGGGAATTTTCTTCAGATGGTATATACTCTTTTTTTTTCTCCTGCTTACAACCGTTATGCACTTTAGGATTTTCATTGTTTCAGAACTGGAAGTTATTTCTAAATTGCTGAATGTGCATTTCTGGGGGAAATCGGACAAAATAAGCTAGCTGCCTTTGTACAGATACCTCTATGAGCAGAAATTACTGCAAGGTACTTAAGCTAATTCCTTTACTTCTGCCTAGCTTTGCTGGTATGTGACAGAAAATTCCTTTAAGTCTTGACTATGGTTAAGGGCTATAGAACATGGATATAAACTTTGGGATTTTGCAGGTGCAGATGTTTAATTTTTTAAGATCACATGTGTGTGTGTGTGTGTGTGTGTGTGTGTGTGTGCAAGCGCGTGCACAATCTGTCAAGACTTTCCTTTACAAGGCATGCCATAGTTGAAGTGTTATATGTTAGATGATATGAAAGATTTTACAAACACAGCCTTTGGAACTAAGAATCCAGAACTCACTACACTTTTGTGTTCAGAGGATCAAAGTTGGAGTGAAGTTTAATTTGCTCTTCAAAAAAAGAACTCTCTAACTCTTACTGTCCTGACTAGCTGTATGATTTAAACAACTGCATGCTGCCTACAGAACGCTAGAAAGTTTCTAGCAGATGCTTATCTAACTTTTCTCATTGGAAGAGGACTTTCCGGGGTAAAGTTTGGACTTTGGAGTTTTGTGTTGTAAAATCTTGATATATTTTTTTTTTGTTTTTAATCCTCAGAGTTGTCAAATCTTTTTAGGTAAAAATTGGCTGCTGTTGTCAATGCACCCAACTTCTCCTTTCTGATCACTGGCCCCAGTTCAAGTTTCCATTCTCAGCAAAATTATATCCTGCAAGACTTGTGTTTTTTCAATTTGCAAGCACTTTTTAAGCCGCTGTCACTGGGCTTCTTGGAGGGGATTGCCAGAGGGCTCAATTCATAAAAGCTCCCGGCCACTGACAGCAGAATTCAGTTGCGCTTTTCAAAATGTTTCACGGCTAAGACTTTTCTTAGTCCAGTAAGTAGCTTGGGAGTTTAGGTTACAGCGTTGTGAGGCACCTGACTCTGCTGTCCTTGAGATACTGGCACCCGAGGGCCCCCTGGCTCTCACAGAAATGATGTCAGCGTCTCATGTACCCTCTGTTGTCTGGGAACTGGCGGGGTTTTGTTTGTTTGTTTGTTGTTGTTTTGCCTCTCTTCTTAGATGATCATCAAAGAGATGGCAGGAGGCAATCTCCAGTTCATTCAAAGATGGGCAAAAACTGTCTCCCAATGAACTTTGCAGGCTATGTCTGCCAAACATTTTCAGAAGCTCAGCTAGCAAAGTGTCCTTAACTTTTTCCTGGACTTGCAGCAGGAAGTGATTGCAGAGAGATGTGTGGTCTTTCCAGTGTATACCAGTGAGCCCAGGGGGTCCTGCCCAGGGGCCCTGATGATATTGGGAAATCTCAGCTCTGTTTCTTGGAGCTTGAGCAGGGAGAATGCAGGAAGGGAGGGCAGGAGGGAAGGAAAGAGAAGCCCGAGACTTAGATCACTGTTCACTATTCAGGACAGCTACAAGCAGCACACAATAGAAATTGGTGTCTTGACAGAAGGGAAAAGATTGTCTGCACTGGCAGCGGTGTGATTTGCTCATTGTCTGAATGGACAAAAGGCTCCTAGCCTACCTGCCTGGGTGTCCAAATGTAACTAGATGCTCTCCCAAACCCCACCCACAAAGCAGCACATGTGTTTTAAGTCTTCAGTTTTCTCTTTACATCAGCCTCATAATACCCACCCTGACCTGCTGTAAAAGACCTGGAGCAAACACAAATGATCACACCTCCAGTGAGTATTTTCCTATGACTATTCTCCTTCCATGTTAACTGGTCATTTGCATGATGACCCACATACCTGGAATCAATTAATATGCCATGTATTTAAGATTAAAAGAGAGGTCTTTGAAATGTGGATTTGTGAACAGTTCTCTGGAGGAGGAGAGTTCTGAGGTGATTTGGAGTTCTCCCCACCTCTTCTCTTGGGCTCTTTCTTCTTTCTTCTCTATCCTATCTTTCCTTTTTTTTTTCTTGATTTGTTTCTTTTGTGGTTGGCCAAAGAAAAGGCCAAGGGATTCATGAGTCTATGGGACCACTTGCATTCAAGTTTTAACCTCTCAGCAAGTTTGTTGGTTATTGTTTTCTGGTTTGGGAACATAATGTGATAAATTCTCTGATTTTCTATGGGTGTGCTGAACTGTTTTTCTGAGTTAAAAGAACATGTACCAGAGATTCTGTTATGTTCTAGAGTTATAAGTACTGATATTGATCTGACAATGTAATTCTGTAGTGGTGGGGGGATGGGGAGAAGAAATAGAAAAACTATGGAAATAATATTAAATGCTAGAGGTTGATGTGCATTGTTGGTCTTAAATGTGTTATGCTAGAAATAATTGTGAATGGCACAGCTTTGACATTTCATGAAGTTCTAAGTTCACACAGGGTGTAACTTTGAGTTTTCACAAAAGTTAAAGAATTTAGAGGCATCTATCATGGCAGGTGCTGGTCCTTCAGCGTTGTCAACAAAGAGAAAGGTGGAGAAAAAGAGAGGGAAAGAGAGAGTCCCATAATATTCCCAGTTAGACTGAATTTGCTCTGATTTCCACTGGAAATATTGAAGAAGACACTCCCTATTCCTTTTTCTTACTTAGAAAAAAGCAAGGACTGGATGATCCTTTGCCCCTAGCAGTCCTTGTGGCTTGGGCTAGTGGGGGGGGGGGGGGGGGGTAAAGACTTTCTAGGCTAAGGTGCACTGAGAAAATGAGATAAATGTTCAATTGAGCTTTTGCCTCCCCTTCTATTTTATGTCTGTTATTTATGATGATTTGACAATAGAGGGTGGTTTTTTTTTCATCTTTAGCTGTTTTGCAAGCATGGACTAAATATTGACCTTGTGGTAACAAGAATCAGGGAGTTAGGTTTTCTTGCTCTTTAGCTTTTCACCCAATTGCTGGTCTGAAGATCTGGCCACTAAATTAGAAATCTAGTTTTAAATGAGGATGTAAACTTTAGCAGTGGCACAGAGCCATTAAGTTGAGAGTTCCCCTGGGATGGAGGGAGTAGCCAGAACGTGAATAAGCGAGTCTGTTTCTCAAAAAAAAAGTGATGTAGTTGAATGGATGAGTGAGGTTCAAGAGAGCCCTTTGCTAAAATTATGACTCTGGCATGACTCTATAATTCTTTTAAGAGTCTTTCACCTGACAGCCTATCTGTGGCTCTTCCCAATGCTGATGAGCACACACATATCTCTGCAAGCAGAGCTGATCATCTTGGGAGCCTTCCTGGAAGAAATCACATTTTGGTGCCACAAGTATCAACATGGAAAATCCCAGTGATCATCTTTTCTACTTCTTAGGGTGAGGGCACAGACTTCAGCCGGAGGAATCCTGTGACTCAAGACACAGCTGTCTTTTGGCTTTGATCATTGACTAAGTCATGCTAACCAATGGATCCATTGGTAGATTTTGCTATAAAAAATGGATTTGATGACACCTAAATGCCTTCAAGAGCTGAATTCAGAATTCCTGTGATTAAAAAGAAAATACTTTTGCAAGTTTTTCTCTTAGGGTCTTGTACATGGAAGGGATTCTCTGCCAGTGTTTATTTAAGGTTGGAGACTTTCAAATTCAAGAGTACCATTGATTTAGTGTTGAAGTCTCAGAAAGTGGTATCTTAACAGTGTGGTTCTTTAGTATTCTAAGTACTTTAGACTGAAAGGGAAAGTTTCTCTCTAACCCTTTCCTGCCTTCCTTTCTCCTACCTGCCATTCTTCCCTTAAGGTAGATCCTAGAAACTAGAAACTCTCTTCCTCATAGGCAGCCATAAATCCTATAGATCTGACTTTAATCTGCCCCCTCCCCTCCCCCCCCCCCCCCCCGCCTTTCTGTGAAGCAGCTAACCATAAAAATAAAGTCTTGACCTATCTTGGCTGATAGTAGGGCATAAAATCAATCCTTGTTCTGGGTGGGGCGGGCAGGGGGGAGGGGGAGCAAGAATCCTGCCCCATGCTCAGAACACAGAAGAACCAAAAAGAGTCAGAACAGAAAAGACTTCTTGTCTTTCCCAGCTCAGTCAACTAGCATGAAATCCTATCATTTTGTGCAGTGACATTTCTTACCTAGCTCTCCATGCATCTCCATCCTGAAGGCTCCCTCATCATATACAACTTTCATTAGTGTATGGTGCCTTTTTCTTGTTATGAGGTGTAAGCTGTGACCCTTATGCTGGGTGAGGAAAGGAATCCTACTTTTCTGTTATGACCGCAAAAGTCAATTCCTAAATCCTCAATTTTCTTCCTATTTCTGTTTGGTTTATTTGTTTCCTTCTACTCGTGGTTGGGTTAACTGCTGATAGTCCCAGGTAATAAATCTGTGCCTGCCTCTCTCTCTCTCTCTCTCTCTCTCTCTCTCTCTCTCTCTCTCTCTCTCTCTCTCTCTCTCCCTCTCCCACCCTTCTTCTCTCTCTCTCTGATTCTGTCTCAATCTTTCCTCATCTGTCTCTGACTCTCCCCCCACTCCTCTATAAAGATATAACATTTTTCACAAGTACTTTTTTGGTCACTGAAAATGCTAATGAATCAGAACCCAGGGACTGATACTCAGAGTTTAATATTCTGGTCAATAATGAATGACTGTGCCATCTGTGGAAGGGCAATTTTTTTGGAGAATTTAAATTATCAAAACACATTTGGCTACAAGCCTGCATATAGCACAATTTAACCTTTGATAATTCAAACATTGTGCCAGGATCTCAGAGTGGTGTGTGATCCCACTGTCAAAATAACATCTTTCATGTACATGTTTGCAGAGCTCTTAGCCTGTTTCATTGCAAGAGGGAATCTATAAAGAAGAGGTTTGGGAGGACTTTTCTTCAAGGTTCCAGTAGCAAGGGGTTTAAGCACAGGCGGTTTGATACTAAGACATGCTTAGTAGTCCCAGACTCCAAGTAGTCCTTCATGTGCTTTGTAGAAGACTGACCTTCCTTCCGTTTCTTCTGCAGGTCAAGATGCACTTCATGACCTCTTCACATCTCTTCTACCTGGTCCTCTGCTTGCTCACCTTCACCAGCTGTGCCACAGCTGGACCAGAGACGCTCTGTGGGGCTGAACTGGTGGATGCTCTTCAGTTCGTGTGTGGAGATCGGGGCTTTTATTTCAGTGAGTAGCTCTCCCTCTCCTTACACTGCTAAAACTCTAAGGTACATGGCTCTGTAGAGAGTGTGTGAATAGCTGAATGGCTGCCAGGGGCTGGCAGCCATCCCCAGTCTCTGAAAGGCTTCATGTAAGCTTAGTTTTTCAGTGGGGCTTCAACAGGAGATTGAGGATAGAATCCTCTTCCTTAATGTTCTTCTTAGCCTGCCTTCTGTTGATCCTTCCTTCATATTGTTTTAATGTTTTCTAACAGGTGGATGGGGACTCTGGGGTATTGAGAAATTGGGGTTTGAGTTCTCTGGGTATAAAGGAAACATAGGATTGTTCTGTATGCTATAGCACTTGTAGTGAAGTAGTAAGGACTCTAGAAATGTGCCCTTGGGAAAAGAATTAAGGGGACACATTCACAAGATCACCATGCAATACGGAATCACCATAAACAGACAGAAGATGAACTTTGCTTAAAGCTGTGTTTACAAATATACAAGATTTCTGTAAATTCGTTTTGAAATGTCATACCCCTTATACAAGTTGATCCTGATTTTGTTTGGTTTTAGTCATTGCTCACCTTTGACATAGCTCTTCTCTTCTTTCCATCTGGTAAAGGGTAGTTGACAAGATCCAAGCTATTTATCCCATAAGTTGGTCTCAGACAATGGCAAAGTCAAGTATAAATGACAAGCAGCATAGTCAATACTTGCACACAATAAGCACAAACAAAAGGCAATAGTACCTAAGAGAATTGATCACTTAAATAATCTACCTCACAGGTATGTGTCTCACTGTATACTACAAGACAGGGAAAAACTTAAAGCCAGATGCTTCCTCTGTCTAGTTCTTTGAACTATTAGAGAGTTCCAAGAAACAGAGCATGAATCATTCACAACGGTTTATGTCACTCAAGTGAAGACAGCTCACTTAGTTACCTATGAAGCTCCAAATAGATTGTGCGATGACTCACACTTGAAGTCTCTCCCATTTTCTTCCCAAATGCCAGCCTCTCTCTAGGCAGGTGTGTGTGTGTGCGCGCGCTTGTAAGACTAAGGTAAAGGGTGTGTATATATGCCAGTCAGGTGATGAAGATGGGAGACAATGAGGAGACAGCAGATGGGGAGACTGGTGATCTGTACCATGGATTTTGCCAAAATAATAGAAGTATCAAGTTACAGAGCCTCAAAAGTGCTAATGTTTGAATGAACAAATTCCCATTCCACGCCTCTCACCAGTGCTTTCCTTGGGTGAATCCATTTGTTTTTCTGGCAATAAACCTTTCTGTTACAAGGAAGATGAATGGATTCATTGGGTAGATGTTTTTCTGGTAACAAATACGTTATACCTTTAAAGAATCCCATGGAAGGTAAATGTGGGATGTGGATATGGTTCAACAACAGGTTGTAATAGTTTTATAATTTGCTGCTACCAATCCACATTTTGTGAAAGAAAGAAAGAAAGAAAGAAAGAAAGAAAGAAAGAAAGAAAGAAAGAAAGAAAGAAAGAAAGAAAGAAAGAAAGAAAGAAAGAAAGAAAGAAAGAAAGCGGTTCTCCCTTACGCTTGAGAGGATTTCTTTTTCTGCCTTGGTAATCCATTTGTGTAATTTCCTTCCATCCAGTTCACTAGGTAACTGCCAAGCCTGCAAATGCCTTCTGCTATGTGCCAGGTTGAATTGTGATGATCATTCTGACATGCTCCAGGATTTCCATGCATGGTGTATGGAAACTGGATGCTTCTATACCCATGATGTTAGCACTGGATGATGAGAAATTAGAATGGAAAGAATGACTTTAGTCCCAAATAACTTCTCCACACTTAGACCCAAAGAGTATTATTGGACAATTAATTATCATGGAAACCAATGTCAAGGCACTGAGAAGATTCTTTTGTTGGGTCACTACCATGATTAAATTTAGCAATGCATATAGATTTCATTTTTATAAGTTGAACAAAGAATGTTATACAGAGCAGCTCTCGATTTTTAGAGTATAATCTTGGATAGAAAGTGGTTCTGTAAACCATGTGTTGTCAATATTGTTGCTGAGAGGTTATGTTTCATATGTTCTGCCTTACAGAATTCTATCACTCAGGTTGTTCCCTTCTGACCTAGTTCTTCAAGCGAGCAACCAACCCCTTTCACCTAAGAGAGCTTAGCCCCTTTAAATGGTTGTAATTTACTTCGAAACATGCATGGAGCAACTGCTGTGTATCCTAAACATGAAAGTGATGCCTAGAAATGACTTGAGAGTCTGACCTTGCCTGTAAGGGATCCACAATTTAGCTGGAAGGGTAAAAAAGACAGACACCTGCGCATTACCAAGTGTCAGGTGAATGAAACCACCTTGGAGGCAAGATTAGATCCTTACTGCTTTCTTAAAATATTTTGTATCGTTTTTGCCAGGCTCTCCCTTGCCATAAATGAACAGAGCTCTCTCAACAGGCTGCGTGGTGCCAAAGGCCATAACTATTTCCTGTTGAATCCCAGGGGCAAGTTAAGTGCCTAGTCATTGTCCTTTTTTTATGGCTGAAAGGATCCAATTGAATTCGATGGAACTGCTTATTTGGGGTCTTTAGACTCACTGAGAATTAGTTTGTCAAATACTTTGGACCACACTTCTTACTGCATGCTGCCTAGTTACTTAATAAAAATTGCTTTTCTTTCTTTCAATTAAATATAATGTATGTATACTAACAACAACCTAGAGACTATATTTTGGCCATCCCAGGCTATAATGACAGTCTGTTTTGTGTCTGAGCCAATAATTCTTGCAGGCATGAACTGTTGTCAACAAATGTTATTGTTTCCTTTCATCCCCCTGAGATTTACTGGGGGTTGGGGGGGCGGGTGGCACACGGGGGAGGGGTTGAGGGCAGAGTCAGCTCTAAACATTTAGTTTTCAAAATACTTCTTAGACGCAAACATTCTTTCTCATTCAGAAGCCCTGTCAGTTGACACTTAATTGTTTCTTACCCTTATTTTCAAAGGTTTCTTGTGTCTTTGCCTTTTATTTTAAGCAACACTATTTTGGAAGTTCAGAATTTTTTTTTCTCAATAGTATAAGGCACTCTCCAATCTTGGTTCTCAATTTAAACATATGAAATAAAATTACCTCCACCTCTGCCTTTGGCCAATGGAGCCTTACATAACAAGATGTTTTTAATGCTGTTAAAACCGTCTTGAATTAAAAAAAAAGTGTAGTGCTTATGTTTTCTGGAGTAACCCAATCTTACAAATGAGCTGATCTTCCCCTTCAAGCCCAAATTCCAATGATGGACAGTAGAAACAACCTTGTAGATGATCTGTTTTGTGAACATCTTCCCAGCTTAAGTGGTATAGTTCATCCATAATTAATGCAACTTCCCCAGACAATTTATAAAATGAAAGATCTAGAGAAGAGCTAATTACAATTCTTCCCTATGCATCATTGTAAGAGAGTCTATCAACCAGCCTTGTGTTTCCATAGTCCTTGAGGAAAACAGTGGCATAATGGAGATGAACGTGTGTTGGGAGAGACCTAGCTATTATCTTACCAGATGGATGGAGCCCTTATCAAAGGTGTGTCATTGTAACCTCATTTTGCACAAAACACAGCAATAAGTAAAAGAAAATGGGAGAAGACCAGCTTGCCATGGGTATAAGTTTTTGACAGTCATGGCCATTTTTACCCTTTTAATGTGTTGTTGAGAGGCTTGTGGAATTTTTCTTCTTGGAGATATTTTAGGAGCTAATGGACAACCAACTGTCTTGGATGGTTTCAATTAAGAATAACCAAATGAAAGAGAGTTTCTAGGGTCCTTTTTAGTTTTAAGAGTCCATAAACAGTCCCTTAAATAAACTATATTTGCTTTAGTTTGGGCAGTTTAAGCAAAAGGAGAAGTAAATCAATTAGAAAGGAAATCTGGATATCCTTTCCACCATTCCAGATTTATGGCTTTTGTAAAATATACTTCCAATGCATAGTTATTAAGATCAGGTCTGAATAAAAGAATGACATTTGTGTTAAAACATAGTGTTTTTAAAGAGCTTAAGTGAAACTCTGCAATCAACTTTCATTGTTAGTGATTGCATAAACCATCCTAGGTTTGGATTATTATTATTAACTCAAACTTCTTTTCTTTGATACATAGTGCTCCGAAAACTGCTCTGAGACCTGTCATTCATTAGTTGAATGACTTTGGCCAGTGTTTTTAAAACTCTTGAGCTTAAGCATCCTTGTCTATAAAACAAGAAGATTTTGTTAAAGTAAATGACCTCAACCAACTTTAACAGACTTGTAGTCTAAGTTGTAATTAACAAGGATCTGATGCTCTTCAAGAAAAGAAAACACTGGATTTAAATAGTGACTCAAAAGCTCTTAGCTTCCTTTATCTTCTTTGAAAAATGGAAAGAAGGCCCCCCAAAGATAGGAGCTTCACCCATTTAAAGAAAAGTAAACGAAGCCAGGTGCCAGTGGCTCACACCTGTAATCCTAGCTACTCAGGAAGCTGAGATCTGAGGGTCACATTTCAAAGATAGCCCAGGCAGAAAAGTCTCCATAAGACACTTATCTCCAATTAACCACTCAAAAACTGGAAGTGGAGCTGTGGGTCAAAGTGGTAGAGTGCTAACCTTGAGTAAAAGAGCTCATGGATAGTGCTCAGCCCCTGAGTTCAAGCCCACAACCGACTGAAAAAACAAAAATGAAAACAAAGCCAAACCAACTTCAGACTGAATCTCTCAAGGATCATATCAGACCTCAGACATGACCAAATTTACTCAGATTATGAAAGCAAAGGAATACACACTTCATGAAAACAGAGTGACATTTTCCAGAGAAGAAGACTGACACTTCTGACCTTTCTGCTTTCTTGGCTGTGAGGAAAAGTGAATAGGTTTGGTTTTAGCTGTACTTTATCGAGTTACCGGAAAGAAATAAGAATCTGTAGGTTTCTCAACTTTCACCCAAAGTCTTTTTCCACTAAAAGAACATTCAAAGATACAATTCCCCATCATTAGCACTGTTTTGAACCAGGC